TTTGGACGCAAGACTTATTCATCTGCCACAATCCAATTTCGAATAGCTAATTACGAGGTTCTTATGGCCAAGTACAACTACCTCAACTACTCCAGAATAGAGGAACACGGCCATAACCTTCCTGAGGCCAAGAAAGAACAATTCCAGGTGCTTATATCTGAGGGACACCTCTTGGCCCATACAGCCCTATAGGCCTCATTAGACTCTGCGGATATCACCGCCCGCTCCATCGCAACTGCATGGTTATGAAGTGGGCGCCATGACTGCACCTCTCAGGCTTTCCTAAGGAGGTACAAACCAGTTAAAGGCTTACCCTTTGAGGGCCCCAAACTATTCATGGTGCATATGGTTGATTCCCTTACCCACCCTTAAAGACTGCCGAGCTACTTGCCGCTTCCTTAGTATTTACACACCAGTGCCAAAGAGACACCTATGAAAGTATCATCTCCCCCTGCGATCCTGACCACCGCAGTACACTCCTCAGCAGCACTATGACACTCAGCGCCAACAATAAAAGCCCCCTACCAAATGTAGACAGGCCACTCCTCAAGGGACTACCTCTCAAGCACCTGCAGCCAAGCAACAGTTTTGAAGGTGTGGTCAAGGCCTCAAGAAGCCTCCCCCCTTTTCCAGTCATATCAACCATCTTCGACATCCCACCAGTTTGGTGACTGATTAGCTCCGTTCTTTCCATCCTGGAGACTAATCACCTCAGACATATGGGTTCTAGAGATCATCAGGGAAGGATACTCCATCCCTTTCCTATCTATCCTGCCCCCCCACCTCTTTCCCCATCCCTCTTCAGGGACCCCTCTCATGAACCCATTTTACGAGAAGAAATAAATCATCTTCTGCACCTGTGAGCCATAGACCTGGTCCCTTCCCAACATAGAGGAATGAGTTTCTATTCCCATTTTTTCTGATCCAGAAGAAATCCGGCAACTGGTGGCTGATCCTGGACCTTCAAAACCTAAACAAGTTTGTCAAACTTCAACACTTCAAGATGGTTACCTTCTCTACCATTATCCCAGCACTGGAACAGGGGACTGGTTCTCGGCCCTTGACCTCCAAGATGCGTATTTCCATTTCACAATACACCCGGCCCACAGATGGTTTCTCTGGTTCACCATGGGAGCCAATCATTATCAGTACAAGGTACTGCTTTTTGGACTGTCAACAGCCCCTTGTGTGTTCTCCAAAGTCTTTTTGGTAGTTGCTGCCTACCTAAGGGTACGTCTATACTTACCCGCAGGTTCGGCGGCAAGCAATCGATCTTCTGGGATCGATTTATCGCGTCTTGTCTAAACGCGATAAATCGATCCCGGAAGTGCTCGCCGTCGACACCGGTAATCCTGCTCCATGAGAGGAGTAGGCGGAGTCAACGGGGGAGCCTGCCTGCCATGTGTGGACCCGCGGTAAGTACCTTTAAGTTCGAACGAAGATACTTCGACTTCAGCTACGTTATTCACTTAGCTGAAGTTGCGTATCTTAGTTCGAACTGGGGGCTTAGTGTGGACCAGCCCTAAGTAAAGAAGGCGTCGTCATCTTTCCATACATAGACGACTGTCTCCTCAAGGTGTCATCCAAAGCTGACACTTTTCGTGCCATCCAGGTCTCAATGGACCTTTTCACGAATTTAGGCCTCCATGTGAACTTGGAGAAGTCTACTTTAATACCAGTACAACACCTGGAGTTCATCGCCGCACAACTAGATGCCATACAAGACAGAGCCTTCCTTCCGCCTCACACATTCTTGACTATAGTGGATCATGTATCCAAGGTGCAAGCCTGTGCCCAGATTTCCAACAGAATGTCTCTCCAGCTAATAGGACACATGACAGCCACCATTCATGGATAAAGCACACATAATTACACATGCGATGTCTTCAGGTATATGTCTGTACAGCATATGTCCCTCACAGATACAAACTGTTATCCATGCCGAGGGTGGTCAAGGACTCACTACTCTGGTAGACACAGCCCAAGAACATCGGTGTCGGGGTTCATTTCCTTCAGCCAGCACCAATCATGATTCTAACAACTGACGCCTCCTTCATCGGTCGGGGAATGCACCTTCACACTCATACAGTGGAGGGAAGATGGTCTTTAACCAAATCTACCCTACACATCAGCCTCCTAGAGCTACAGGCTGATGTTTCCTTCCACTGATTGCATATCGCACCATCAAAGTCATGATAGACAATATCGTCTGCATGTTTTTACATCAACAGACAAGGCAGAGCAAGGTCCCACTCTTTATACTCGGGGGCACTGAAATTATGGAGATGGTGTATCCAACATGACATCAACATCTCAGCCACATACCTCCCTGGACACCAGAACATCACTGTGGACTCACTGAGCAGAAGATTCTTCCATGATCACAACTGGGAACTGGATAAGTAAATCCTTCAGCATATCTTCAAACACTGGGGATTCCCCAATGTAGACCTTTTTGCCACACCACAAAATGTCTGATGCCCTCAATTCTGCTCAAGAGTGGGATTGGGACACAGGTCTTTGGGAGACACATTCCTCATCACATGGGATGCACCACTGCTCTATGTCTTCCCTCCCTTCCCCTTTCTGTTTTGAGTACTCCACAAGATTCAGGGGGATTGAGTCCATGTCATCCTTATCGCGCCAACATGTCCACAACAGATCTGGTATACTTACCTCTTTCGCATGATGGTATGCCAACCCATCTCCTCCATCCAGCTCCAAAACTCATTTCACAGGATGCGGGTCACATCCTCCATCCCAATCCACAGATGCTCCACCTCAAAGCCTGGCTCCTCCGTGGTTCTTGGATTTGGAAATAACCTGTTCAGATGCAGTTAAACAGATACTCTTGAATAGCAGATGCAAAACGACTAGATGCACTTAATGTCACAAATGGACTAGGTTCCAATGCTGGTGCGCCTCCCATCAGGTTGATGCAATAAGCGCTCAACTACCACTTATCCTAGGCTATATTTTACACCTTAAATCAGAGGTGGGCAAACTACGGTGGCCTGCGGGACCGTCCTGCCCGGCCCCCGAGCTCATGCCCCGGGAGACTAGCCCCCGGACCCTCCCCTGCTGTTCCCCCTCCCCCACAGCCTCAGCTCGCTCGCTCTGCCACCGGCGCAATGCTCTGGGCGGCAGGGCTGTGAGCTCCTGGGGCAGCGCAGTTGCAGAGCTGGGCCTGCCCTGGTGCTCTGTGCTGCATGGTGGCAGTGGCAGCGTGGCCCGGCTCCAGCCGGGCAGTGTGGCTGTAACGCCGCCAGCCACCGGTGCGCCAGGCAGCGCAGTAAGCGGGCAGGGAGCAGGGGGTGTTGGATAGAGGGCAGGGGAGTTCGAGGCGGTGGTCAGGGGGCAGGGGTGTGGATAGGGGTCGGGGGGGAACGGGGTTGAATGGGGGCAGGGGTCCCGGGGGGGCAATCAGGAAGGAGGGGGATTGGATGGGGTGGTGGGGGGCAGTCAGGGGCAGGGGTTCCAGGGGCAGTCAGGGGACAGGGAGAAGGGGTGGTTGGATGGGGCAGGGGTCCCGGGAGGGGCCGTCAGGGAACAGGGGGGTTGGATGGGGCAGGAGTCCCGGGGGGGAGGATAAGAGGTGGGGGCCAGGCTACAACCCTCTCCCCTAACCGGCCCTCTATACAATTTACGAAACCCGATGCAGCCCTCAGGTCAAAAACTTTGCCCGCCCCAGCCTTAAATGGTCGGGATTATCCACCAGCTCCATTCGTGTGCATTTGGCAGCCATTGCCACTTTTCACTGCCACAATAGACAGCCATTCTATCTTCACACATCTATTCATAAAATGTTTCCTGAAGGGTCTCCGAAATATTTATCCCCACATACAAGATCCGACCCCAGCCTTGTTCTACACTCTCTTACTAGACCTCTGTTTGAACCAGTGGTGACGTGTTCTTACGTTCACTTATCAATGAAAATGGCCTTTCTTGTCTCTATCACCTCTTCCCGATGGGTCGGCAAAATTGGGGCCCTTGTGACATATCCTCCATACACACTTTTTCATAAACTCAAGAATGCACATAGTGGCAGTATCATGTAGAAAGTGTAGAGATAGTCATTGTGAAGGAGACTTATCATTGTGAGTATAAGCACTGAGATATAGGTCAGTCCTACTATATTCTAAGTCAAGATCCACTACTGAAACTAGAGCTGGAACTGACGGACCTGAGACCACATGATACTGAAGTACATGTTTGGGGGGAAATCTTCATCAGTGCCAAATGCTGGCAAACAGATCCAGAGGTTTGTCACTGAAGACATAGCACAGTGCTTTGAAGATATAAAAATCCCTAGATCTTCATCTGTTAGGTGGCACTGTTGCCTCATACTTGGAGTTACTGTGAGAATTTTGTGAAAATTCACATCTCATTTTCACACCTGACAGGTCACAAGATACTGGACATGGGCATCCTGACATACAGAAACTATTTTACATACATTTTAGAGGCTTTTCAAATATATTGGTAATAACATTTCCGTCACTTATAGGCCAGTACAGGATACTGTATCAACACAGATTTTAAAGCCAAAGTTCTAAAATAATTTTCCTCCAAAAATATAGCATGAAAATAAGGTGTTGGTAAGGGTTAAAGTTTTTACATTGGAGTAATATGGTCATCCCACTCATTCCATTAAAATCTTTATATCATACTATCATATGACAGAAAATTAAGATCTGTATTTAGACACTGTCTCTCCGATATATCTGAATGCATGTTTACATGTGTGTGTATATAAATTCAACTCCTGATTCAAGTAGCATGTAAAATGAATTCGTAAAGGTGAAATGCATTCTTTTTTCTTCAAATGTGCCAAAAAGTGGGGGAAGGTGAGAAGTAATGATTTGTGAAGAACCTTCAAAGTTTGCTTATTCCTAGGCTAGAGGAAAACAGATTTATTATTCTGGATAGGTTGCCCTATAAATTCCTTTGAATGTGATAGTTATGCAAGCATTTGATTACTTGTTTTTATTCTAAACCAGGGGGAGGACTGATTGGGAGAAAGGGCTGCATAGGTGCAATGGGAAGAACTGATACAATGATGTGTGCAGTATACGGCTGGACTGAAGAGATGGCATTCTCTGGAACTTCCACTGGGGATGTGTGTATCTGGAGAGATTTGTTTCTCATAAAAACTGTCAAAGCACATGATGGTCCAGTATTTAGCATGCATGCATTAGAAAAAGTAAGTGAACTATTTGGATTTTAAATGAGACATAGTTTGGATTAATAAAAATCTCTTTGTGGCTAGGCCTAACATGAATGCAGTCTATTACCATATAATTGGAGTTCAGGATTCTAGATGGTATTCCCCACTCTCAAGTCAGCGGGAACTGAGAGTGTTGCATTTCCTAGTAGGAGGAAGTGCATTGTATCATTATATTACAGTGACTCCTCTCATTGATTTTAAGAGCTGCATGCCCTCCTGTTTAATGATGCCTTAAGAGTAAAAGTGGAGGGCCTCTTGGGGGGGAGGGGGGGAGGGGATTCTGTTACATTGCATTAAAAGAAACATTACCAGTTATGTTTGTTACTATGTGAAGACTTGAGCAGATTTAGGGTTGCCAACTTTCTAACAGCACAAAACTAAACTCCCTTACCCTGCCCCGCCCCTTCCTTGAGGCCCCACTCCTGCCCTGCCCCTTCTCTGAGGCCCCGCCCCCACTCAATCCAGACCCCTCCCTCCATCGCTCGCTCTCCCCCACCCTCACTCACTTTCACTGGGCTGGGGCAGGAAGTTGGGGTGTGGGAGCGGGTGAGGCCTCCAGCTGGGGGTGTGGGCTCCAGAGTGGGGCCAGAAATGAAGGTTTCAGGTTGTGGGAGGGGGCTCCGGCCTGGGCCAGGGAATTGGGGTGGGGGGGGAAGGCTCTGGGGTGGGGATGGGGATGAGAGGTTTGGGGTGTAGAAGGGGGCTCTGGGCTGGGGCCAAGGGGTTTGGAGTGTGGGAGCAGACTCAGGGCTGGGGCAGGGGGTTGGGGTACGGGAGGGGGTGCAGGCTTCAGCTGGGGGTGTGGGCTCTGGGGTAGGGATGAGGGATTTGGGGTGCAAGAGGGGGCTCAGGGCTGGGGGAGGGGGTTCTGACCTGGGGTAGGGGGTTGGGGTGCGGGTGGGGGGGTGTAAGATCTGGGAGAGAGTTAGGGCATGGGAGGGGGTTCTAACCTGGGGCAGGGGGTGGGGGTCCGGGGTCTGGGATGCAGCTAAGGTGCGGGAAGGAGTTCCGACCTGGGGCAGGGGGTTGGGGTGCACGAGGGAGTTCGGGGTGCAGGCTCCGGCCGGGCAGTGCTTACCTCAGGCAGCTCCTGGTCGGCGGCGCAGCGGGGCTAAGGCAGGCTCACTGCCTGCCTTCCCTGGCTCCACGCTACATCCCAAAGCAGCCAGCATGTCCCTGCGGCCCTTAGCACTGCCCCCGTAGCTCCCATTGGCTCTGTTCCTGGCAGGGGCAGCACTGGGGGCAGGGGCAGCACACGGAGCTTCCCTAATCGTCCCTGTGCCTAGAGGCTGCTGGGACATGCAAGCTGCTTCCGGGGAGCTGTGCAGAGCCAGGGCAGGCAGGGAGCCTGCCTTAGCCCTGCTGTGCCGCCGACCAGACTTTTTTAACGGCCCGATCAGCAGTGCTGATTGGAGGCACCAGGGTCCCTTTTCAACCAGGCATTCCAGCTGACAACCAGATGCCTGGCAACCCTAAGCAGATCTAAGGCTTGCTTCGTGTACATGGTCATACCTAAAAACTTTCTACCATTTATAGCAATTTTCACCATTTTATGCCTAGGAAATTTCTTCCAAACTGGTAGAAAATCCGTAAATGAAAATCTTTTTAACTACATCCATTGTATATAATCCTGTATCCTTATGTATACAATCTAGTAACTATTATACGGGCTTTGTTGGATTACAAATTGAAAACTGTTACAGTGCCAACCAACAGTAAGGCAGGGATCGGCAACCTTTGGAACGCGGGCCGTCAGGGAAATTCGCTGGCTGGCCGGGATGGTTTGTTTACCTGCAGTGTCCGCAGGTTCGGCAGATTGCAGCTCCCACTGGCTGCGGTTCACCATTCCAGCCCAATGCGGGCTGCAGGAAGCAGTGGCCAGCACATCCCTCGGCCCATGCCGCTTCCCGCAGCCCCATTGGCCTGGAACGGCAAACCACAGCCAGTGGGAGCTGCGATCTGCTGAACCTGTGGATGCTGCAGGTAAACAAACCATCCCGGCCCCCCAGCGGATTTCCCTGACAGCCCGCGGCCAAAGGTTGCCGATCACTGCAGTAAGGCCTTGTTTACACTATACCACTTTAACTCTTCTTGCATAGTTAAAGCAACACAAGCCCTCTAGTTTGGTATACTTCTGTGAATATAAAGATATATTGGTATGGGTATTCCAATACGGGAAAGGGAATAAGCTACATCAGTATAAGGCACCTTTATATCAGTTCAGCTGAATCCCCATAGGGAGGACTATTTCAGTTAAAAAAAAAAAAAAAACCCACCGCTGACCAAAATAGTAACATTGGTACAAAACTTGTATGTAAACTAGGCTTTAGTCATCTGGAATAGATATAAGTTTAAACCAGAGTATGTCCTTTTCAGCCGAAGGAGCTACAGTGTTCATTTTTTGTCACAGTTATAATTAATTTAGATATAGGAATGGTGAATGTTTAAGATAAAACTGTGTTTTTCCTAATTTATAACATCAAACGATTCCAGCTTTATTGCCAGTGTATCTATTGTCAATATTTTCCCCCAATGAAACAATTTCAGTCTACTGACATAGGCAGAAGAATAGAAATAGAGTATTCCTGTTAGAGAAAAGTGTCCCAAACCACAAAATTAAAATACAGATGTAACCTTTCCCCACATTCACAAATATGCTAGTCCACGCCCATTGTAAAAGTGGTCTGGGAGGTCCAGATCTAGGGGTAAAATTAAGAAAGTTAGCCTAAATTTTCCCTATCAGGAAAACATCCCGACAGTGAAATGTATTAGGCCACTGAATAGTCGTCCTTGAGAGTGACAGAGGTGCAGGACTTTAAAAAGCAGACTGGACAAAGCACTAAAAATGCACTGTAGAGACTTGTAGTGCATTGGCAGGACCAGAAGATCTAATAGATCTTTTCTATCTCTAACTTGTGTGATTCTATGATTTTACAGCTACATTATTATTAAGACTACGTTTAAATGTCACGGAGGTCATGGAAGTCACGGAATCCAGATTCTGAGACTTCCAGAGACCTCCATAACATTCTCTGCTTCAGCCCCAGGGGCTGCAGGACTGGAGCTGGCAGCCAGCAGGGTCCTGGCAGGGTTCCAGCAACAGGCCACAGATCCTGAGGGAGCCCTCGTCAGGGTTCCAGCGATGGGTGACAGCCTCGTGGAGGGCGTGGGGAGGGGGAAAGAGGGACGCCTTGGGCGAGCGGCTGGGGATGTCCCATTTTCTCTTTGGGAAATATGGTCACCCTGCAGCTGCCAGAGGCAGAGGGGGAACTGCACAGCTCCCAGCCACCACGGTGGTGGGGGAAACCATGGAGCCGCAGCAGCAAAAGTCACAGACAGGTCATGGGTTCCGTGAATTTTTGTTTATTGCCCGTGACCTTTCCATGACTTTTACTAAAAATAAAAATGACAAAATGTTAGCTTTAATTATTATGTACTAAATGTCAGTGTTGGCATGAGTCATTGTACAAGTAAGGATAATCTTTTTTTTAAAAAAATACTAAATTATCTACTGATGACAACCTATGAATTAATCCTATTCTACTTTTTTGGGCAGGGATTTGTAACTGGTGGAAAGGATGGGGTAGTGGCTCTCTGGGATGACACCTTTGAACGCTGTCTCAAAACCTATGCCATCAAACGAGCTGCTTTGGCCCCTGGCTCTAAAGGTGAGTGTATAGTACATCAAACCTTTCTGTTTTATTCTGCCTTTAAACACTGTCTTTAGTAAGCTTTTTCTTCTAAGTTTCCTCCCTCCACAATAAAAGGAAATCAAGTTTTGCTGTAGTAAAAATTGAAAAAGGAAAAAAATAAAGTTGTATTTGAAAACTGTTCTATTTAAAGTGTTTCTACTCTGAAAAAATTACTAAGTAAAAATAGCAACTTCTAACCTAACCCATATGCTTCTTTTGTGTATTCTGTCATATCTGTGTTCTTTAATGACAACAATAATGCTTTTCATGCCTATTAGTACTAGGACCAAGCCAGCCAGGAGACAGTGAATGTGGGGATTCAGTTGTGTAACAAAAACTGAAATTTTTACTAAGTCTCAGTCAGTTTCACCTGTTCACATCCAGGGAGGCAAATTTGTTCTATAGAACCTTTATCGCTGACGATTATATATATCAGAAGGAAAGAACCAAGCTTAACATTGATCAGAAGTTGAGTTTGCAAGACTAACCATGAAGGAAAAAATAGTTTTATTTGTGAATTGAGCATATTTGTAAATCTTTGAGGATAAACACTCACTCCAATTAGGGCATTTTGAATATGGGCCACAAAAATCAATGACAAAACTACATTTGTCCTGACAGATATTAAATCCTTAGCCTAATACCAACCCATGGTCTGAAGAGAGAATCTGTGCATGGCTTACAAAAATATAGTAACAGTTACACTGAATTACAGTTATAAGTTGCAGAAAGTTCATTTCCATAAACTCTTCACAGTGTCTTCTATTTTGCTGAATCAGCAGGTTGATTTGGAACTAATTGTCATTCCTTCCACAAACCTCAATGGACCACTATGCTACAGAAGTGAGGGTAGTTTAAAAAAATTAGAGAGATTACGCTCTGAAAAATTATTCTAAAAAAATGGCACCATGGGGTTCCATATTTAATCTTCCTATTTGTTCTGCCTTGGAATAAAGGAATGGAGGGGAGAATATATTTTTTATTAAAGGTTTAATACTCTGTCTGGCTTGTTTTCATGTGAGCATGTATGAGTACTGAAATGTTTTCAGGCCTGTTGTTCCTTCAAATTTCTCCCATTTGCTGGCTGATGTTGGTCCTGATATACAGCTTCCCAATCTGATATTCTGGAGATTTCTCTGTCTGTCTTCCCTAAAAAAAACTAAGAATCTTTTGTTCTTAGCTTACATCATTAGACTGTCAAAAGGGTGGCTCTCCAGTTGCTTATTAAACTTCTATTACAGTTAAAATAGTAGTTTAACACATTTTACTGATGTACTCCACCCTAACTTTAAGATAGATAGCATCATAGCTGTATGCACATTTCTCTCACTGAGGTTTGTAGCATGCTTATTAGATAGCTATGTTAATGCTCTTCACCTTGTTTGAACCTCAAGGAGAGGCTACTGAACATGAGGATCATTGACAGTTGCCTTATATGGCAGGATTATTAGGGAAGGTGGGGTAACAAAAACTGGAAGGCTGGCACAGAATAAATTATATGGTTTCTGTAACAATGATACAGAGCACGTTTTAAAAGTTAGCTAATATGTGCTAAAGCTCCACAACTGGAACCAAGTTTTGTATGCAGGAAAATGCTAGGACTTCTTTTCTGTTGAATTTGATCTGGTAAAATATGGGTGTAATGTATATACTTCTGAAATAAAACTCTCACACCTTTAAAAATTTAATGTTTTAGGTCTCCTCTTAGAAGACAACCCTTCTATACGTGCCATATCGTTAGGACATGGTCATATTTTAGTGGGCACAAAGAATGGGGAAATACTGGAGGTGGATAAAAGTGGACCAATAACTCTTCTGGTTCAGGTACGTTTAAAATATTACTGTCAGGGTGTTCAACATCTGAGCCTGTGGCGAGAGTCTGTAGCTATGTCACCCAGCAGCGAGACTCTGCAGCCAGTGATAGTAGAGTAGGGAGGGCTCAGGTTCCCCTAGGTTCCAACCCAGAGCCTGTGACAGGTTGGTTAGATATGCAGCCTGGGGGGGCAGATGCCACCAAGCCTGTTCACTGGGTTACTTCCTACTGCATTCTCAGCCCCCTCCAAAATCACAAAAGGTGTCATCTTATGAACTCACAGGTTGGGGGGTTCTCATCAGAGTCTTTGTCGTTCGGTTCCGGCCCTCTGTTCCTGGTCTCCACAGGGGCCTTCAGTGGCTCTGCTGCTGGGTCTGGTCCAGGCAATGCGGAGCTCCTGCGGCCTCTCTCCAGGAGTTACCAGCATAAGACTGCTCCTTTGCTCAGTCCGCACTGACTGAGCTGAGTTGCTTCCTTTGGAGCTCTGCCTCCGCTGTGAGCATGCCCAGCAGCTGCAGCTGAGTTGGGCCTTCAGGACCCAGAGCTGCTCGATAACCCTTGGTTTTCTGGTGTGGGGTCAAGATACCTCATCATAATTACCCATATATTCTTCCCCCCCCCACTTCCTTCCTAGAATCCAGTGGGCTTTGCAAGTTTCTATCATAAGTATATTATTATACTTCAAACAGAAGTAACATAAAATAATGAACATTCTATTAATGAAGTCTGAAAACTATTTTAAATTCAGAGATTTTAAGGCCAGAAAAGACCATTATGATAATCTAGTTTGACCTTTTGCAAAACACAGGCCCTAGAATTTCACCCAGTAATTCCTGCATCATCTCCATAATTTCTGGTTGAACTAGAGCAGTGGTTTTCAACCTGTGGTCTGTGGACCCTTGGGGGTCTGCATACTATGTCTAAGATTTCCAAAGGGGTCCGCACCTCCATTTGAAATTTTTTAGAGGTCCGCAAATGAAAAAAGGTTGAAAACCACTGAACTAGAACATATATTTTAGAAAGACATCTACTCTTGATTTAAAGACTTCAAGTGATGGCAAATCCACTACATCCCTTTGGTAAGTTGTTCCAATGGTTAATTACCTCACTGTTTAAAACATAGTGCCTTATTTCCAGTTTGAATTGGTGTAGCTTCAGCTCCCAGCCATTGGATCTTGTTATGGCTTTGCTAGATTGAAGAGCCCAGTACAATCAGATATCTTCTCCCTATGTAGGTACCTATAAACCATGATAAGTCATTTGTTAGCCTTCTCTTTCATATCCTAAACAGGCTGAGCTTCCTAAGTCTCTGATTGTAACATGAGTTTTCCAGATCTTGAATCATTCTTGTGGCTTTGTTCTTTTCTGTTCATATATACGTAAGATGCATATTTAATCCATGTGTATGAAGAGCTATTACAGTGCAACAATGCATGAACAACAGATTTTTAACACACACACACACACACACACACACACACACACACACGATCCTGAATCAAAAGCAATACCTGTCTATATATCTCTTTTGAGTCAGGCTCTGCTATGCTAATATTTTGTTTACAGTATATTTTTATCTTAAGCACAAACTTAAAATAATGCATGTTTATTTTGAAGGATTATAAAAGGAAGTTTATAAATACTTTTTACAAATCGGGCTTTTCCTTAGTAATAGAATGCACATTTATGGCCAGACTGAATTCCTAACTCAAATTGGGTCATAATTATTCACATGAATAGTACAGTGACAATTTGGCCCTTCATTGTTAGGTTAACAAAAAGATTCTAAAATTAGATAATTTAGTGAATCAGATCATTAGGTCAGTTTTCTGAAATATAATTTACTTTAATTTTATATTAAAAATAAAAAACTTCTAAGTAAAATGTAAGATATTCTGTGCTGATTACTGAACCAAGAGTGTTTTCATTAGGAAGTTTTCTTTATCATCCAACAAAGATTTCCACATTCTCAGTATAGCTTTGTAGCTTCCTTGTATATTTTTTCAGTTTTGGAAATAAAATTAGCTGATTTTTTTTTTTTTTTTTTTTTTTTTTTACAGGGTCACATGGAAGGGGAAGTTTGGGGTCTAGCCACCCATCCTCATTTACCTATTTGTGCCACTGTAAGTGATGACAAAACCTTAAGAATATGGGATCTATCTCCTAGCCATTGTATGTTAGCTGTTCGCAAATTGAAAAAGGGTAAGATGCTAGTATGAAAAGAGATTGTAATTGAATTAAGTTAACACACATTAGCATACTAAATCTTGCAAAGACAAAATGTGAAAATATAAAGTTTTCTCTAGTTCAAACAATTTCTGTTTGAAGACATTACTGACTCAACAGATAAAAGCTGCAAGAAATATTTAAATGTCATAGTGTTTCATAAGACTTAATTAAAAGCCAGAAAATTTAAAATAAAGGATGAAGCTCCAGCATTAAACCCACCACCTTTTATCTACTATTGGCATTTTTAAACAATGGTTGATTTTATGTATCGTATATATACTATGAAATTTTAGCTCATGGGTATTTTCAGATGAAATCACAGCATTGATGCTGAAGGTCCTTTTTTGTTGTTATTTGACATGATGTTATATAATTTTGTGAGGATTTTTTGTTTTGGGATTAGAACTGGGGAGATGATCTGCCAGGAAGTATATGAAAGCTGACAGAAAATATCATGCTAGCTCTCTGAAAGGTGGTTATTACTATCATCAATTAATTATTATTATTATTATTATTATTAAGAAGAAGAAAATTCCTAATTAATTATATTGTGGAAATACCCAAACACCCTAATCTGGAGAGGGGCTCCAATGTCCTAGACACTGTGGAAGACATAATATTTGCCCAGAAGAGTTTATAATCTAATTTAACACAAGATGCAATAAGTGAGGGTAATAAACAATAGGAGGGAAGTACAGGGAGAATATGGTTAACAACATAAAGGAGGATCGGTATAGTAGCTTTACAGACTAGTTCAGGGACGTTGTTGCATATATAAGGGATGGTGTGGTAGAAGGAATGAAGACTCTTGTGGCAAAACCAGACAAGCAGCTGGAGCAAGGAAGGGGAGGATGATACAAGAACAGACAAGTAGGGACAGGCAGCGCTGTAGGATTTTAAAGGTGGGAGCAAGAAGTTTGAATTTGATACAGCAGAAGAGAGGAGTGATGTGGGAAGAATAGGCAAGACTGATAATCTTAGCAACTATTTATTGAATAGATGGTGTGTGGGTTTCAACAAGGCCAGTGAGGAAGAAGTTGTCATAGTCAAAACCCGTAGGGATGAGGGCCTAGTTGAGTTGTGTGTGTGTGAACAGAGAAAAAAGTCTTGATTATAGGTGGAGATGGTTGTGAATCCTTTAGTTAAGGTTGCCATTATAAGACTGTTTTCAATTGCGTATAACTTTCCCAAAGTTTAACTGTTAGACTGACATTTTCCATGCCAGGTGTATGCCTCAGGCTGAATTTGTTTTGTAAAGATTCATCAAAAATTATTCTTGTGTTTCCTAGAACATGGTAGAGAAATACATTGTTTTACTCATGTTAAAAAACTTAGTGTTTCCTTGAGAAGCTGCAGCACCTCTGTGCTTTAGAATAGGCACATGAAATTTAGCAGGAGTGTTGCCTTTGTGTCAGGATGTGTCCTTCCTGTAAAAATCCATCGACACTTGGCAGAGTAACAAACTTCTGAAAATTACAGTTTGCGCATGCTGAGTAGATATTGGTTAATGTTTAGCAACTAAATTCCCTGAAGATTATGCCTGTACTGGGTGCACTCCATTTCAGGGCTGCAGGAGCTGAGTAGATGTGCCCTTGCAAGTACTCCTCCCAGCCAGTAGGGACCACTGTAGTGCCAGGCATCAGAAGTGAGATCATGCCCCTAGTATGACAAAGGAGAAGGAATCAGCTGGGAATGCAAAGGGGTGAGGGATGGAGTGGGAGAGGCAGGCTGTGGCCTGTGGAAATGGGAAGAGGGGCAGAGATAGGCTGCGAGAGTGAGAAGTAGGGTGGGAAGGCAGAGTCAGGCTGCAGAGGAGAGGAGGAGGGTCTGTGGGGACAGAGACTGGCTGTAGGAGGGAGGAATAGGAACTAGGTAGAGAGAGATATGCTGCTGGTGGGGGAATAGGTACAGAGTGGGGACAAGAAGCAGGCTACTGGAAGTTAATACTATAGGATTATACTATAGTTAATACTATAGGACCGTGGGCCTCAGGGACATGCTGGCTTAAGGTGACCAGATCACACAGGTGAAATATCGGGACGTGGGGGGGGGGGGGGGGGGGGGGAAGAGAAAAAAAAAAAAATAAACGGCCGCCGGAGCTCCACGCCCTGCCCCACCCCCCGCACCAGCATGCCTCCACTCTGTCTCCACTTCCCCCCTCCCTCCAGCGCTTGCGCCGCCATACAGCTGATCAGCACAAGCCTGGGAGGAGGAATGTGGCGTGCTTGGGGAAGAGGCAGGGCCAGGGTGGGGATTTGGGGAAGGATCCAATGGGGCAGTGAGGGGGCAGGGCTGGGGGGCATGGGGCCAGGGCGGGGATTTGGGGAGGGATCCAATGGGGGAAGGAGGGGGTGGAGTCGGGGCGGGGGGGGGGAGGGAGGGGGGCGAGGCCCCTCTGGGCTCCGCTCCGCCTGTGAGCGGAGGCAAAATATCGGGACAAGTCGCGTCCCGACCGAAGGTACGTCGGGACGCGGGACAAATAAGCAAATATCGGGACAGTCCCATTAAAATCAGGACGTCTGGTCACCCTATGCTGGCTGCCGCTTCCCGCAGCTTCCATTGGCGAACTGTGGTCACTGGGAGCTGCGGGGGGCCGTGCCTGCGGATGGTGAACAAACAAAATGTCTCATGGCCTGCCTGTGGATTACCCTGATGGGCCCCATGCTGAAGGTTGCTGACCCCTGGTTTAGTGTATATGGTCTTTTGCAAGTTGTGGCAGTGTATATAGCTAATATATATAGTTCTTATAATCAAAGGACTTTTCACCCCAGGTGCCGGGCATGCTCTGGTCCCCAGGCTTCATGCCTTGTGCCAAACCTGTGCCAGTGAGTGACCCACATTCGAGTTGTTTAAAGAGTTTTGGGGAAACTCACGTTAAGGACAAATGCAAAATCTGTCAAGACTTCAGACCCTGCACCAAGAAGGACTGGGACATCAGACTGAAGGCTATCCTCATGAAAGCCCCCCTCAAACCTGTCTCCTGGCTCCAAGCTCTTCCCAGCACCATTCTCCATCCCTGGTGCCACAGAAGAAACACAAAAAGCAGTACAGCAAGAGAGGGCACTTGCCAGTACAGAAGAGAGACAAGTGAGGAGAGGGAGTGAGACCCAGGCCGGGCCGTTGTTCTACCCCTGGACCTGCGTCAGCACCGTCAACTCCACCAAGGGAATTGAGGCTGATGAAGGACCCTCTGCTGATACCAGGGAGTCACCATGGTACCAGTGGACTGACAGTGCCATCGACCCTGGAGGCTTATCAAGCAGGTAGGGACCTGCTCTCTGTTCCGGTCCCTCCAGCCCCACTGGGGAACCTACCAACTCTGACATCCGGAAGCAGGAGGGAACAAGGTGCATCAGGTGCCTTCCTGGCACTGGGTCCCCCATCATCAGCCAGGGGCAAGCCCTACCTGATCCTGGCGTCCTGCTCCCTGGCACACCACTGGTCCCCAGAGCCCTTGCACCATATGGACGCACAAGTGGCTACTGCTCCTCCCTGGTTGCCAACAGAGGAATCCTCTTCAGATTCTGAAGAGGAGCCCTATGTACTGAGAAAAGCCCACCATCGGTACCCAGCCTACACCCCACCAAGCTTTACTGCCAGTCCCCAGGTGGGTGCCTGACTAGCGGGTCACTGGCCGATGTAGTGGCCCTACTGGAACCCCTGGGAGTTTCCCCTGGTACCAGGGCCTGACTCCCACTTCTCCTACTTGGTGGCCTCTTGGAGGCAGGCTACTGCTCCTTCCTGCTCAGCATCAGATCCAGACTCCAGCACCGACCCCAGTACCAAAGCCCAGTGGGTATAGTCGAGGCAGAAGGAGAGTCCCTCCTCCGATGAAAGCCTCCCCCTCAGCCTCCCCAGATGAAGCTTTTGCAGGTCCCAGCAGACTACTTCCCCAGGATGAAGTCAGGATCTTCTGAAGTGGGTCACTTCAAACCTGGTCTTGGAGATCAAGGAGCTCAAAGAGACATCACACAGCCTTATTGGATGCAGCTGCTGCAGCCAGGATATCAAGGTAGCCCTGCCCATCAATGAGGCAATGATGGGATCAGACAAAGCCCTATGGCAGATTCCTTTTTCTCTGGCCCCCACTTCAAAAAGGGCAGAGAAGAAGCATCTATTATGTGCCAGCAAGCGGCTTCTCAACTATCTGTACTCACACCCTCCCTCAGGGTCCCTGGTGGTGTCGGAAGTGAACAAAAGGGACAGGCGGGGCCAGTCGAGTGCTACCCCAAAATAAAAGAATGCTAAGAAACTGGACCTTTTTGGAAGAAAGGTTTATTCCACATGTAGCCTCCAGCTGTGTATTGCCAATCAGCAGGCTCTTCTGGGGAAGATACGATTTTAATCTAGGGGACTCCCTGACTAAGTTCAAAGACTCCCTGCCTCAAGAGGCAAGGCAGGAGTTTGCAGTCCTCCTAGAGGAGGGTAAGAATATGGCTAAGACCTCTCTCCAGGCGGCTCTGGATGCTGCTGACTCAGCGGTCCAGACAGCCTCTGTGGTCATCATGAGGTGCTGTTCCTGGCTCCAGACCTCTGTCCTTCTCCAGGAAGTCCAAGTCTATCCAGGACCTCCCATTTGAAGGCTCCTCTCTTTTCTCAGGGCAGATGGACATGAGACTTCACGGACTGAAAGACTCAAAGGGCACACTATGATCCTTAGGCCTGTATGCTCTATCTGCCTTTAGAAAACACTTCAGGCCCCAGCAGCCTCCTTAGTTCTCAGGACCTCCAAGACAGGAGCCCTACAAGAGAAAAGGCAGAGGTTTTAAGCGGCGCCAACCACCCTGTCTACCTTAGCTTCTCAGTTAGGGCCCCAGAGATACTCCAGCGAGCCCAAGCAGGCCTTTTGAAGGTGCGCCAGAGGGCGCTGTACCAGTTGCCATTTCAGATCTGTCCCTCTTTCATTTTTCGACCATCTGTCGCTCTTCAGCTCAGTTTGGGTATCCATAACAACAGACTGATGGGTCCTGAGCACAGTGACAGTCCAATATACCCTTCAGTTTTTATACAACCCTCCCTCCTGCTGCCCATCCCTGTCCCTCTTCAGGAACCCTTCTCATGAGCAGCTGCTTGTCCAAGAGGTGCAATCCCTCCTACATATGGTGGCTGTGGAAGAAGTTTCTCAGGACTTGAGAGGGAAGGGGTTTTATGCCCGATATTTCCTAATCCCAAAGGCAAAAGGGGGGCTCTGGCCCATCCTGGACCTGCATCACCTCAAGAGATCAAGGAAACTGAGGTTTTGCATGGTCTTCCTGGGTTCCATCATTCCCTCCCCGGATGCAGGAGATTGATACGCCACCTTCGACTTAAAGGATGCATACTTTCACATTTCTATCTTCTGTGGCAATGGAAGATTTCAGGTTTGTAGTGGGTTATTGCCATTACCAATTCACTACCCTTTCCTTTGGCCTATCGGCAGCCCCAAGGGTTTTTACAAAGTGTATGGCAGTTGTAGCAGCCTTCCTTAGGCAGCGAGGCGTTCAGGTTTACCCATACCTCGACAACTGGCTGATCCAAGGTTGGTTGCAGACTCAAGCGTAAGACAGCATCAGCACAGTCTGAACCATGTTTAGGGCGCTGGACCTGCTGATAAACAAGCAAAAGTCAACAATTCTCCCATTTCAGAAATAGAATTTACTGGGGCTGTGCTTGACTTGACCCAGGCCAGCACCCTCTTGACAGAGGCTCGATTCCAGACAATGGCAAACCTGATATGAACCAAGGTCATGGCCCACCCAATCATGACAGCTCAAGTGTGCCTCAAGCTACTGGGCCACATGGTGGCTTGTACTTATGTGGTTCAAGATGCAAGACTGCACCCCAGTCCCCTACAGATGTGGCTAGTGTCAGTATACTCCCCAAGTATCACAAACTCACTCTTAGGATTCTTCCCCCAGTCCTTGCCTCCCTGAGCTGGTGGAAGGAGCTAAAGTCAATAATGATGGGAGTGCCGTTTGTGGCCCCGCAGCCATCGGTGTCTTTAGTCTTGGATGTGTCAGACCTAGGGTGGGGAGTCCACCGCAACAACCTCAGGACTCAGGGCCTCTGGTCCCAAGAAGAACACTCCCTGCACGTAAATGTCAGGGAGCTCAGAGCTGTGTGCCTGGCTTGCCAAATGTTTCTTCTCTGGGTCTCAGACAAGGTGGTTCAAGTTCTGACAGACAATACAGCAGCCATGTTCTATATCAAGAAGCAAGGAGGGGTCCAATCCTCCACCCTTTTGTCAGGAAGCTGTTGCTGTGTGGGACTTTTGTGCAAGACACTCCATTCATCTCAAAGCATCTCACCTCCTGGGAGCCTGGAACGTGTTGGCAGATCACCTCAGCAAGTCCTCCTCCTCCTCTCACCACAAGTGGTCTCTTCACCCAGAGGTTGTCAGTGTCATCTTCTCCCCAGGTGGACCACCAGGCAGAACAGGAAATGCCATCAGTCCTATTCACTGCGTGGGCAGAGCCTGGGCTCCCTCTGATGCCTTCCTGCTCTCATGGGCAGACCACCTATTGTATGCCTTCCACTGATCCCCTTGGTTCATAAGGATCTCCTAAAAATCAAACAGGACAAGGCAAGGGCTATCCTGATAGAACTGGCATGGCCATGCCAGCATTGGTTCGGGACACTTCGGGACCTCAGTGGCAGCTCCACTTGTGCTCCCACTCCGCCCGGACTTGATTTTACAAGACCATGGCCGGTTGCTTCACCCGAACCGAACCTCCCTGCACCTAACTACATGGATGCTGCATGGCTGAACCCTGAAAAAAAAGCGTGCTCGGAAGAGGTTTGACAGCTCTTGCGAGGTAGTAGAAAGCCTTCCACTAGGGGTGCATACTTGGCCAAGTGGAAATGTTTCACTTATTGGGCCTTTGAACAGGATCTCTCTCCATCTGGATCCTCTCTTCACTCTATCCTGGATTGTTTGCTCCACCTAAAGCAGCAAGGTCTGGCACTCATCTATTATGGTTCATCTGGCAGCCATCTGAGCCTTCCACTCCCTCCCCCCCAGTGAATGGCAGATTAGTGTTCAAGCCATTAGCATCATGCTCCTTACTACTTCTCTCCTGGAAGGTAGCCTTCCTGATGGCAATTACCTTGGCCAGAAGGGTCTCTGAGATCAGGGCCCTTATGTCAGAGCCACCTTACACAGTGTTCTTCCAGGACAACTTCGCCCCCATCTCGTCTTTCTGCCAAAGGTGGTGCCACAATTACACAACAATTAGGTCATTTTTCTACCTGTCTTCTTCCCAAAAACCTCACAAAAGCTCTGAGGAACAATGGCTTTATACATTGGACATTAGGCGAGCCCTCATCTTTTATATTGAGAGAACTAAGCCCTTCTGCAAATCTATGCAACTCTTTGTAGCAATAGCAAAAAAGTTGAAAGGGCTACCTGTGTCAGTCAACCCAAAGACTTCATCCTGAATAACTGCCTGTATTAGGGCTTGCTATGAACAGGCGAACGTCCAGCCTCCAGCCATCATGACTGCTCATTGCACAAGAGCCTGGGCTTCATCAGCAGCCTTCCTTGCCCAGGTATCAATCCAGGACATCTGCAGAGCTGCAACCTGGTCATTGTTTCATACCTAGGCATCCCATTATGCCATCACCCAATAGGCCTGTGACGGGTGGGGAGACCCTGTCCAGTGCCGGGTGAGTTCATCCCATCCTTTGAGCTGGCCTCTGTCTCTAGGCCGTGAGACCTAAGGGCTGAAGTCCATAGAGTTGCCCTGACCTGCAGGGCTCTACGGCCCAATGGCCAGAGTCTATGTAATCGCCCTGATCCCTAGCAGCCAGAGTCAATAGAGATAGTCCAGGTTCGCAGGGCAGTAATGCCTAATGGCCAGAATCCATAGATACACCCTGGGTTTGCCGGGCAGCAAGGCCTAACAGTCAGAGTCAATAGAGATACCCCAGGTTCGCAGGGCAATAAGGCCTGGTGGCCAGAGTTAATAGAGATGTCCTCTGGGTGGGGATGTATGGCCTAGCGACCGGAGTCAATAGAGTTACCCTCCAGGCAGTAAGGCCTGGTTGACAAAGTCAATAGAGATACCCAAGGTTCATGTCGCAGGGCAGTCAGAGTCAGTAGAGTTGCACTCCGGGCAGGGCTGTATGGCCTAGTGGCTGGAGTCAGAGTTGTCCTCTAGGTGGGGCTGTATGGCCTAACAGCCAGTTGGGGTGTGTGGGCCGTCACCCTGGGGGAGTGGGTGGTGGCCAGGTAGGGGGACCCAGACCCTCCCTGCTTCACTGGATCCCAGCCCAGGGCCCTGTCAGTGTCAACTGTGTCCGCCACTGGGTCAGCAGGGATCTGTTCACAATACGCTGACCATCACTGGGACAATGGCTAGTCCCCGCCCAGGCTACTTCCTACCGTGTTACTCCTGGTGGCGGTCTGCACGTCTTCGGGGTCTCTGGGTTCCTCAGCCAGTGCAACTTCCTGTAGCTCAGACCTCCCTTGGGTGTCCACAGGTAGCTGGGCGTCTGCTTGGGCCTCAGCGCCTCTGACTTCCGCATTCTGGAGCTCCAGGTAAGCCAGAAATTGAGAATATTTAATGAAAGAATAAGTAAATAGCTCCTGTGTGTCTCTTCCAGGGGGCAGATGTTGCTGCTTTTCTCCTGATGGAAAGGCATTGGCTGTAGGTCTCAATGATGGAAGTTTCTTGATGGTGAATGCAGACACTCTGGAGGATCTAGTCTCCTTCCACCACAGGAAGGATGTTATTTCAGAGATTAGATTTTCTCCTGGTGAGTGATCCATTAAAGTGATAATTATCAAAGCCAACTTGATTGAACTTCATATCTGTGGTAAATTATAAGCATGCATACTGGGATTTTTGGTTTCTTCACTGAACACACTTGTGTTTCTCCATGATTGTATCAAATCAATTGTTAGAATGTGTTAAAGGAAGGTCACTTTTCAGATATAAAACCTTGATAATGTTCCTGTCTTTATGCACTCTATGGAAATTTGAAAGAAACAAATGGACATAAATCTTATTCTTCATCTCTTGTGGACCTTCTGGATCTCCTTCAAAAGAACGGGAAAATGAAGATTTGTTCTCCTGTTTTATATCTATCATTGTTTAGTAAATGGAATTAATATTATCGTTTGATGTTGCTTGGATACATTATCACACTTTGGAGGCTAAGGACAGGATTATCAGAAGAGCTCAGCTCATATTTAGATACATAAATGTAATGACTAGATTTTCAAGTGATTAGCTCCCATTGCAAATAATGAGAACTGCTAAGTGTTGTGAGCTCTGAAAAATCTGGCAACTTGTATTAGTTAGAGGTCACTGCAGGGCAGTCTCTGTGTGATATTTTACACTATGTATCTTCATGAAACTTTACTCATAGCTAAAGAGAGCAATTTATTTGAAGCGTCATTAATGCTTTAGGGTCAGATTTTTGAAAGTGCTCAGCACCCCTGATTGGGGTCAGCTTTTTGGAAGAGCTCAGCTCCCATTTAGGAACCCAAATGTATAGCCCCAGGCATTACCAACACCTCAGTGGAAGCAGTCTTGTTACCTATAGACAAAGTTTGATGCAGATACATGGTGCAAAATATCACACAAATTCTTCCCTGCTGTTACGCCAACCTTAATATTACACATGCCTTCCTCTGTGAAGGAAAGAATGGTTGGATTTTCAAGTTTTCACTTCTGATTGTTCCTTAAAGATACAGGGGTTGTCTGTGTCAGACTATGGGAATGTTTAGCCTTACAACCAGGTGTAGAGTGCAAACACTGCACACCCAGCTGGGAGGGGTATAACTAGCGGTGTAGACCAGTGGCTCTCAACCTTTCCAGACTACTGTACCTCTTTCAGGAGTCTGATTTGTCTTGCGTACCTCAAGTTTCACCTCACTTAAACTACTTGCGAAATCAGACATAAAAATACAAGTGTCACAGCACAGTGTTAGTATATAGGCCTGTTTCTTAGCCTGGGATAGAATTTTGAGTTTGATTTTTGATACTAATATGTGTGAACAAAGAACAAAGACACTTTGTTTACTTCTGCCTAAAGAGATGGGCTTTATAGCACAATGAGGTGAGATAAGGAAGAGAGTTAAAGTGTTGCTGGGTATGGTGGGAGTTTAATATACGAGCATACCCTTGAAGACTGCCTCGACTCCTATATCAAGGCAAGGCCAAGCAACCAGTCAGGAGGGGCAAGATGGGATGAGGGGGAAAAGCATAAAAAAAAAATACTAAAAAAACAGAGAAAAGGTGACACTGGCTGAAACATAACCTCACTGCTTACCGCCTCCCATGGGGTACAAAAGAGGTGGTACCAAAGCCCTCAGACTCAAGACCCTCCAAAATGGAACACGACCATAAATTGTAAGGGTTGGGACCAAGGGCATGCACTACAGGTATAATTATGCCTGCTAAGAAAGGGGAGGGGAAGAAGGAAAGTTCTACGGTGTACAGAGCTATGGATATGCTTGTTAGATTAACCCAATAAACATCACTTTGCCTGCACTTTGGACTATGGTCTTCTGCTTTCTGTCTGCTTGACAAGAACCAAGCAAGGGGGAGGAAAGCCCTAATGCACTATTACTGAAAAATTGCTTATGTTCTCATTTTTATCATAAAATTATAAAATAAATCAATTGTAATATAAATATTGCACATCTATGTACTATACTCTGAAATGTAACAGTATAAACAAGCCATTGTCTGTATGAAATTTTAATTTGTAGTGACATTGCTAGTGCTTTTTATATAGCCTGTTGTAAAACTAGGCAAATATCTTAATGAGTTGATGTAACCCCTGGAAGACTTCTGCGTATCCCATGGGGTACGCGAACCCCTGGTTGAGAACCACTGGTGTAGACAGTGAGGCACTGATTGGGTGAGTAAAGTAGAGTGCATGCCTGAACCCTAAGATATATATACCCTACACATGTGCTCTACATGCCCAAGCAGTGCCTCTCTGGGGCCCTGTCTACACTGCTCTTTTTAGCAGTGTAGTGTCTTATTGCCTTCTCCTTGCCAGAACCTTTCTTCACCACATTGAAAGGCTCCAGCAGTGGGGAGCATCTGGAGCCTTTCACTGCCACATGTAGTTATGCACTGCAGTGAGTGTGGATGCAGCCTGCCTTTTCCTGCCACATGTAGCTACACATACCCTACATGCCACCACAAGTGTAGACAAGGTCTATGACATTTTTGGTTATTTTGTGATATAGATGCTAATCTTCAGGGGTTGGTTGTGGATCACCACATCTATTTCAGAAAGAGCTGGAAATTGAATTTAACTGAGATCCAAAAAGTCAAAGGGCAATAGCTTATCCACTAAGGTTTAAAACACTGAAATGATTGAAAAATGTCTTATGTTCCAATTCATTTTAGGTGCTGGAAAATACTTAGCAGTGGCATCATGTGACAGCTTTGTAGACATCTACAATGTAATGAGCAGTAAGCGAGTAGGAATCTGCAAGGGCGCCTCCAGTTACATAACACACATGGACTGGGACATCAGAGGCAAGTAATAATTTGTGGATATAAATGACAACTGCAAAATTAGATTATAGGTAAAGTTTTCAAGAGAGCCTAAATCCTATTTTCAAAAGTGATTTAAGCATGTAGGAGCCTAAATTTCATTGGAAGTCAAAGGGTAATATTCTCTGTTAACCTAAACATGCAGATTATGCTTTATTTTATCTGGTACACCTAGAATGTGAATTTATGATGCCAAAGGCAGATTCATTCCCTCAGTTAAGGATGCTGATGTTATGTGGGTAAAAATACCTAATTTAGACACCTATAAAGAAGGCAATTTAATGAAGTAAGATAAAAGTTCTATCTAGATTCTTATATGTCTTACATGTAATGTATTGTTTGATTTCTACCTTCTGAGCAATGTACTGTTGCATCTCTTTTCCAAGAAAACAAATCCTTGCTTTGTCTCACACATGGAAGAATAACTTTTTTTTCCCCTCAAGTAGTACTGAATACTAAATGCATGATTAATTTAAAAAATGAATTAAGTGGAAACAAATAATTATAATTTGTGGGAAATTAACAGAAAATTTCCAAATGCACATTTGTTCAGTGAAATTGAATTTCCTAACTGGTGTTAACATACTGGTATGTAATTTATATATTTTACAGGGAAGCTTTTACAAGTCAACACTGGTGCTAAAGAGCAGCTGTTCTTTGAAGCTCCTCGTGGGAAAAGACAGACAATTCCCAGTTTGGAGGTAGGGAAGTAACTCAGTTGCAAACCTGAAGAACTACAGTATAAACTACATCTAGGAGAAAACATCTGTTAGTTATTTGCTGTTCTTTGTTGTCCTTTAATTGTACAGAATATTTTTGTGAACTTTTCATCTAAATAATATCATCCCAGAATGCACACTTACATAAGGGATGTCTTCTCCTCCTCCTCCTCCTCATATAAATTAGACATGTATCTAACTATTTGGAAAACAGTATGTATTGTGACAAAGTTCCAAGCCTGTATTGATGGATCCCACACTTCTGGGGGGATTCAGTGGCCTCAAACTCAGTAAGGCCCCAATGTGATCTCTCTTTCTCAGTGTAGTGGCAAGAGTCACAGCCTATTCAGTTACTTTCATCACCAGCCAATGCGGGAGTTGGGAAGGGGGAATACCCCACAGTCTCTGTTAGGGTGACCAGACAGTAAATGTGAAAAATCAGGACACGGGGTGGGGGTATAATAGGAGCCTATATAAGAAAAAGACCCAAAAATCAGGACTGTCCCTATATATAAAATCAGGACATCTGGTCACCCTAATCTCTGTTGCGCTCAGTCTCCTGCCTGGACCGAGTCTGCTTCCCTTCTCTAGTGGATCTCTGTAAAGTAGGAGGGCAGGGGGAATCCAGGCCCACCCTCTACTCTGGGTTCCAACCCAGGGACCCTAATGGTGGCAGCTGTTGGCAGCTTTCCCTTCACCACTGATGCTGCCTTGATTCCCTGGGCCACTTCCCCCATGGTCCCCTTCTCCTAGCTTTACCCTTACCTCAAGGTTCAGCAACGCTTCCTCTCCTCCAACTTCTTTCACCTCAGCTCCCCAGAGGGCACTGGAAGGAGAGCTTTTAAACAGTATAAGTGGGACCTTGATTGGTTCCAGTTGTCTCCATTAGCCTAACAGCCTTAACTGGTTAATTGGCATCAGGTGTCTTAATTGGTCTGGAGTAGCCTTTGTTTGGCTATCCAGGGAACAGGGACCTGCTCATTCAGAAGGCTGATCTATCTGCCTTCCAGTCCTTTGAGGCCGTCCCGCTGGCCCGTTGCCCCGCTTGCTTCTGTGGGGAGGACCCTGCTGGTATGACCTCAGAGGGGAGTGCGAGGCTCCACTTTTTCCACCATTTTTGGGGCCTTCCCTGGCTGGGTTGCTGCTGCCCTTGCTGCTGCTGCTGGAGAGCCTGTTACTGCTGCTGAAGCTGGGGAGGGAGTGGAGGAGGCCCTGTTTTGTGGAGGGGGTTTGTAACATCCTTGCTTCTGTGGTGGTAGGTGCCGTTGTAGTGGGGAGCTGGGGGAGTGGCGTGGAGCCCTCCCCTTGGTCTGTCCACTCCCCTATTGTCGCCACCACCCCCTCCACCTTCCCAATTACTATCTGGCTCTGCTCTCCACTCCCCAGCCCAGCAGTTTGCTCTGTCCTTTTTCCCATCTTGGGACAGTAGCCGCAGGGAGCAGGCACTTGTTTTTCGGGCGCACGTGGGTGCACATTCCCTCTCCGCTCCCTTGAACTTGCCCTCCCTCCCCTGCTGCATTTGGCTGGTGGGCTCCCTTCCCCTCTGCCTCGCCCACTGTCCTGTTCTTGCAGCTGTTTGTCCCCTTTCCCTTTGCTGCCTTCCCTGTCCGCCCCCTTCTAGCCACTCTGTTTGCTCTGTTTTGCCCTGCTCTGTTTTTTGCAGGGCTTCTTTCTTTGTTGGTCCTTGGTTAGTTGTTTGCCCCGCCCTTGTCCCGCATTGCAGGCATGGTTGCCAGCCCCATTTCCTCCCTTTCGGTTTGGTTGCTTTTGAACCCACCCTGTTTTTTGCTCCTCGCCTGTGGCATACTTGATCTGACCCCCCCTTCATTCCGATCCCTTGTTGTTTGCCCCCCCTCCCGGTTTACCTTCTTTGCCTGCGTGCCCACATTCCATTTTGAGTGCCTGAGATTCCCGCCTTTTTTTCGTTAATCTGCTCACTGTTTTAGTTCTCCCCTCCTTAGTGCAGCTGGGGGAGCCGGTTTCTTCATCCTGTGCTGGGAGTTGTTTTCCTTGTTTTCCTTTCTGTTGGCGCCTCTCCACCCTGCTTTCAGCCTAGCGGGTGGGGTGTGGTAACAGTTTCCCGCCCTTCCTCCCTTTCCCTCCCCTTCATCCCTCCCTTCCCTCCGTTCCCTTTGTTTCCTGCCCTAAGTGACTGTCCCTCCCTTACTGTGGTGGGTGATTCGGGGGTGGGACTTCCCTGGACTCCCCTGCAGCTCCCCTTTAGTCTCCCTTCCCACCTTCCATTGTGATGGCTGCCTTGACTGCCATCGCTGCCACTGAGGCACTGGCGATGGCGGGCATGGATAGGGACTCCCAAGACTCTGCTGCTGCTGCTACGACCTCTGCCTCCCCGCTTCTGAGACCATTCCCTTGGCCGGTGGACCTGGGCGGGGGGACAAAGAAGGGCAAGGGTCCCGCCCAGAAGGCGAAACCTCCTGTGGCGGCGGTTCCTTCTGCTGTGGCCCTGCTGACGGCCGCTGCTCCCTCTCTTCCCCGACCCGTTGTTCCCTCCACCAGCCCTGGAGGTGCTGCTCCTTCGGTCCCCAGGGCGTAGCCCAGGTAGCTGCGACCTCTCCGCTTGCCGCCTTGCAGTCTGCTCCGGCCGCCTCCTGGAATACCATTCCCGGTGGCCGGGGCCCCTTTTCTGTTATATCCTTGGGGGCAAAAGTTTTAGGAAGAAATCACTGGAGACACAGAGAGCTGTAAACCTTGAAAGCAGCCATTTATTGCCACACACTGAACTAACCAAAAACCAGCCAAGACTGGCTGGGCTATCCCCTAATAATCTAACTCAGTTGCCATAGCAACACAAGATTCTATTACCACGACAACCAAATACACAACATATTCCTCCCTTCTTAATAAGAATGTTCCCTGAATAAAACAAACACTAAATTAGAGAAGGAGGGTAGACTGCCTCCATTTCTGGCTAAATCCCGGGGATTATTTTGCCCTGTAACCGTGGGTTCACCCTAGCTAAAGATCCAGCCATTGAGGAGGCCTTCTGTCTCTAGGTGGATTACAGCGGACTTCTGGTGTTGTTGCACCCGAAAGTGTCTTGGGCGCGGGCCTGACAATGGGCTCAGGGTTCGTAGGGCGAATGGGTGAGGATGTGGTATCAGCTCGTGCCGGGCAGAGGGGTATCTCTGCCGCCGGCAGTAATGGAGGGGAAAAGTCAGGAACAGGTGACTCTTGATTCGGTGTCTCACCAGAAGTGGGGAAGTGAGACAGCTCAACTGAAGATGTGTCCTGAGGACTGGTATGACCTGGCAGCAGCTGATCTACATGTTGCCGCCAGGTGAGATCCTCTGCAGTCCGGACTGTGTAGGAAACTGGCCCTGTTTGAGTGATGACAGTGGCAGGGACCCATTTAGCTCCAGAAGTATAATTCCAAGCCAAAACTGGCTGTCCTGGGTTAAAGGTTCAGTCTTTTGCTCTGGGTGCATGCCTGATGACTTGATCTTGCTGCTGATGTTGCACAATTTGTTGGGGTTCAGAAGGTTTCAGCAGATCAAAGCAAGTGCGCAGCTGTCGTCCCATCGTTAGAAAGGCCGGGGATGCTTTGGTCATAGCATGAGGTGTGTTTCTGTAGGATAGTAAGACGGTGTCCAGATGCTTTTGAATGGATAATTGTCCCCTTGCCAATTTCAAAGCTTGTTTAATTGTCTGTACAAATCTTTCAGCTAATCCATTGGTGGATAGATGATATTGTACTGAAGTGATGTGGTGTATCCCATTTGCCTTCATAAAATTTTGAAACTCCTGAGAGACTAACTGCGGTCCATTGTCACTCACAAGTTGTTCTGGCAGACCGAAATGACTAAAGAGTCCTCGTAGTTTTTGGATAGTACTCTCTGCAGTAGTGGTCTGCATTACAGAGACTTCTGGCCATTTAGAATGGGCATCTACCACCACCAAGAACATGCTTCCTTCAAGGGGGCCAGCGAAGTCAACGTGAATATGTTGCCACGGGTTTTCAGGCCAGTCCCATGGGTGTAGGGGTGCCCACTGAGGTGCATTCCTCACACCCTGACATGACGTATAAGCTCTTGCCTTCTCTTCAATAGCACTGTCCAATCCAGGCCACCAAAAATAGCTTTGTGCAATTTCCTTCATGCACACTATTCCACAGTGACCGGAATGTAGCTGGTCCAACAAGGTCGGGTGAGACCAGAGAGGTTTGTCGAGATGTTCCATGCATCACCAGGTCCATAACTTGGGACAATACTGGGTCAACTCAAGTTGCCTTCTTTACCTGAGTAGCGGTGATGGGTGTATTCTCTACCTGTTTAAAGTAAAAGATTTCCTTCTGGGCAATATCTTGACATTGGACTGGTAAAGGCAGCCTTGAGAGACCATCCGCATTGCCGTACAGAGTGGATTTCCGATATTTGATTTCATATGTGTGTGCGGAAAGCAACAATGCCCAACGTTGCATACGACTAGCAGCTAATGGAGGAATGCCTGTGTGGGGTCCAAAAATTGAAGTCAGGGGTCTATGGTCTGTGAGAAAAGTAAACGTCCGTCCGAACAGGTACTGATGAAACTTGCGAATTCCTAAAACGATTCCCAATGCCTCACATTCGATTTGGGCATAGTAAGTTTCTGCTTTGCTTAGAGTGTGCGAAGCAAAAGCAATAGGTCTCTCTTCTCCCGAAGGCATAATGTGTGATACAACTGCTCCCACTCCATAAGGGGATGCATCGCAGGCCAACTGTAGGGGTAAGGATGGATCAAAGTGCATTAGAACTTCAGAATTTAGCAATGCATCCTTAGCTTTGTTAAATGTAACATCACAGGCTTCAGTCCACTTCCAGGCCTTGTTCTGCCCAAGGAGTTCGTGAAGTGGTTTTAGCAGTGTGGCTAACTGTGAGATGAACTTTCCATAATAGTTCAATAGTCGTAGAAACGAGCGAAGCTGGCTAACATTTCGAGGTGGGGGAGCCTCCACAATAGCCTTAACTTTTGCAGGGGCCTTACGA